ATAATGGAGCTATTTAGCAACTGAATTTATCATCCTTTTACTCCTGAAAGTGATTTGAGAACTTTGATAACCACCCAGCAGGAGTGTTAGGAGGAAGCTGGGAGCTTCATGTGGGAAACTGGGTCGAAGGACCCTCCGCAGCCAGATCAGGGACTGAATGCAGCATCACTAAGAAAAGTCTAGATCAGGGGAGACCTTGGCCTTGACCGAGGGATTGGGCCATACAGCCTTGCAGACCTTAGACATTGACAGTGTAGAGGTAACAACAAGAGGGCAGAACTTATTATTGGTGGCACTCAGTCACCCAGGGCCCTAAACATGGCCCATCCTGCAGAGCTGGCTATCAGCTCTCAGCATATGCTTAAAATACGTACTCTGCTTAGTCCAGGGCAGGCTTTCTGGACGTGTTTTTACTGACTCAGTATCATCAAGTCCCTGTGGAAGGGCTAGGCATGGCACCTGGGCAGTTCTGTCCTTTCACTTTCATCGTCTAAACCTCTGGCGTGCCTGACCATGAACTTGACTGGCTACTATAATCATTCTCTCATTGGTCAGTCCTCAGCCTGCTATGAAAATAGACTTTCTCATTCCCCAGCTGTCCTGTGGAGCTGTCTCTTGCTTCAGCAGTGTTTGGGCAGAACAGACCCGGCGACTCCCCACCTCAGCCTCCAAATACCCTCCAACTTCATCTCCAGGCGTCACCCCGGGACCATCTTCTTAGCCATCTCCTATTTTCAGGACCAGCTAACACCATTTTTTTTTTGTTAGCCCCAAGTCCTTTTACCAACTATGAGCTCTCAGACCATCAGAATTACTCTGCGGGAGTGGAAGTCAGCCTCAGTCATCTGGTCAGGCTGCACACGCGGGCCTCCTACACTTACCTCTCTCTGGGTTTTTATTTTGACCGCTACGATGTGGCCTTGGAAGGCCTGGGACACTTCTTCCATGAGTTGGCGAAGGAGAAGTGCGAGGGTGCCAAGCGGCTCTTGAAGTGCGGCGGCCGTGTCCTCCTCCAGGATATGCAGAAGCCATCCCAAGATGAAGGGGGTAAAACCCTGGACGCCGCAGATGCAGCGCTGGCTGGCCTTGGAGAAGAACCTGAAGCAGGCCCTTCTGAGTCTGCACGCCGTGGGTTCTGCCCACACAGACCCACATCTCTGTGACTATCTGGAGAACCTCTTCCCGGATGAGGAAGTGCAACTGCTGAAGGAGATGGGTGACCATCTGACCAACATTGGAAGACTAGGCGGCCCCCAGGCTGGGCTGGGCTAGTATCTCTTCAAGCAACTCCCCCTCAAGCACGACTAGGGCCCTGTGGAGACACCTCTGTGTCCCCCTGCCATCTGCAGCAAGCTTCTCTTTCCCACCTGGGGTAGACTCTATCAACCCAGAAGCCTCTAGCCCAAGCCTTGGACCAAATGGAAACAATAAAGCTTTTTGCAACAGCTTAAAAGAAAAAGAAAATGGACTTTCTCTTGCTGCCCCACTGAGGGATTGTTGCTACAGATAATTGTTGCTTAATACCTGTATGTCAGTTCCGACTCATGGTGGTGACCCCGTACAGACTATAGGACTGTTCCTGACTCATGGTGACCCTGTGTGTACAGAGTGTAAGACTGGTCCATGTCCGACACCAACAAGAGCCCCCATGGTGGTCAGGTTTCAGCTGCTCTTCCACACTAAGTGTAGGGGTAAAGGCCTGGCAATGTACTTGATAAAATCAGCCAATGAAAGCTCCACAGATCACAAGAGAGCCTTGTTTGGTGCTGATGGATGAGCCCCTAGGTTGAAAGGCTATTGGCAGACACAGTGACTCAGCAGACAGCGTGCCATTCACACACCCCCAGAAGGACACAGAGGGCGCAGGACTGGACAACAGGCTGCCTCTGCCATCAAGCTGAGGAATGGATGGAGCTACTAGAAGGTCACTGCAGGTGCCAAGATCAGGTTGATGGAGATAGGTGGGCAGACTCAAGTGTGGACTCAAGCAGGTGTGAGCCAGTAGTTCCTAGCCATTGTCTCACCCTTTTCAAAGTGTTCTGTGCTTAAAATTTCTTTGATTCAAGTCATTGCTACTGGTCAACCAGTCACAAACACACTTAGAAATGAGACCCTTCAGAGAAGGTGTTTGATGTTACAGGGAAGGACATAAGTGGAATGTGAGAGGTACCTCAGTTTACCTGAGTAGGTCAGGTGTTTCTGCTCATGGCTTTGCTTCCCGTGACTACCGCTTCTCCAGGCTCCCAGGGGACCTGTGGAGCCTTGGTGGTGCAATGGGTAAACAGCTGGCCGCAAACCAAAATGTTAGCTGCTCAAAGCCACCAGGAAAGACTGACCATGATCTCCTGTAGAGAGGGCAGTTCTGCTCCGTCCTGCGATGTCGGGGTGAGTCAGAGGACTAGCCTGGCAGCATACGACAGTACAACAGAGGTCTGGAAGAGGTGGGTGATCCACGCTCTTCTTGGTTTATATAGGTGATTGTATACATCAAAGGCCTCAGTGTCAAGGTGTGGAGGAGCCCAGCGCGTAATGGTAACCTCACTCTGCAGAACCTAGAATGAACGTTGTTAGATGAATTGAATTGTGTCTCCAGAATACGTGTGGTTAAATCCTGACCCTCTCGCTCCACCTGAGATTATCATCCCTTTTGGGATTACATAGTCACAGGCAGATTACAGATTGATTGGGAGATTGTGTTGCCCTCATGTGTGATTATCACTCCCTTGCCGCTGTCAAATCAGCTCCGACTCTTAGCAACCCTCCCCTGGGTTTCCAAGGCGGTAAATCTGACAGGAGGAGACTGTGCTGTTTCTCCCAAGAAGCTGAGGGGGTTGAAACGCACAGAGACGTGCAGCCTGTGAATGAGCAGGAGCCTCTCTCAAGTTTCTGAAGCTGTAAGTTTTCATTCAAAGAAAACTGCTCATCTTTTTCTCCCTCAGAACAGCTGGTGGATTCAAACCACTGACCTTCTGGTTCATTTTGCAATTTGCTACACACTGTGCCACTGGCGCTCCTAAACTTATGCCTAATAATTTTAGCTTGTTGTTGTGTTCCATAGAGTCGGAACCAACCTCCAGCGGGTTTTAGAGGCAGATAATCACAGAGGAGATTACTCATCCTTCCCCTGCGGAGCAGCTGGTGGCCTTGAACTGCGTGCTTTTGGGATTGCAGCGCAGCTTCTTGCCACTAGGCCACCAGAGCTCCCTCAGTGTTAGTTTAGCCAGCAAAATTAGTGGAAAGAAGAAAAAGATAAACCAAATAATTCCAAGTGTTAAAGAAATCTAAGGATTGTTGTTGTTGTTGTTGTTGTTGTTGTTATGTGCCGTCGAGTCGTTTGCGACTCATAGCGACCCTATGTACAACAGCCCTAAACCCTGCTCTGTCCTGTGCCAATCTCATTGCCTCCGACACACCCATCCCGATTACCCCAGTCACTGAATCAATGCACTTCATAGAGGGTCTTCCCCTCCTGCGCTGTCCCTACACCCTCCCAAGCATGATGTCCTCTCTAAAGACCTGTCTCTCCTTACAACATGTCCAAAGTATGTCAGACGAAGCCCCAGAAAAAAAAAAAAAAGACTTACCTTTTGTTCTCAAATGAAGTATAAATTTGTAGCTGTCAGGTTGATTGTGACCCAGCACCCCGATAAGACAGTGGAACTTCCCCACAGGCTTCCCCCTAACCCACAATAAAATCTTGGAGGGGAAGGGAGGGAAATGAAACTCGTGTAGGGATTGAAATAAAAATGTGGTTTCTTGCATTAACTTGCCTTTCAAAATTGGAAGTAACTAATGGGACCCGGTATAGACTCATACATGTTGAAGTGCTGTGCAAAAAAAAGGTCAGCCGTTCAAATAAATCCACCAGCCACTTGAGGCACTTCCCTCCCATAAGTGTTTACAGCCTTGGAAACCAATGGAGGGTCCCTGTACACTGTGGTGAGCTGAGGACTGTGGGGGTTAGAGGGTCGCTATGGGTCAGAATCAACTCATTGCCGAATCGAGTGAGTCATGGAGTGTCCTACCTTGGATTTTTCCAACCAGAGTTCAAATGTGTATGTGTGTGTATACACACATATGCTCCTTTTTTAAATCTTGTTTAATCATCTGCATTGGTGACTGGGAGCTGTGGTAGCCCAGTCCATAGGGCATTCACTGTACTGCCAACCCAAAGACCAGCACCTCTCTGGTGGTTCAAATCCACCAGCAGTTCAGTACGGGCGGAGATGGGCAGTCTCCTCCTGTGTGATTTACAGCCTCAGAAACCTGCCAGAGGGTCAGCTGTGGGCCAGCTCTGGCTCCACAGCAGTAAGTTCCTTGTTGTTTTATTTGTGATTTACTGTGCTGCAATACTGAAGGCACACAGTTCGAGGCCACCACCTTCCATGGGGGAAGGGTGGGCAGTCTCCTCCCTGTGCAATAACTGCCTCTGAAAACCTGCCGGGGGGCGGGGGGTGGTCAACTATGGATCAGTTATAACTCAATGGTACACAACAACAACAACCTGGAAATAATTGGATATAAATTATCTAAATCATGCTTCGGTCTCAATAATTCTCCAGTTTTATAAGTCATCTCAGTCTCTCTGTGACATTTTTTTAAGTGGTATGTCTCAAAGTGCTTGAGGAACATAGAATATAGAAAATAATCAACTTTTTTTTTATTCTGCAGATCAGGAAGCCACCAAGAAATTATTTCCACTTCCTTCACCATCACTTTTCTGAGCTCCTTAGCCCCTAATGCATCCCACCCTCTTGTTTTGTTTTTTTTGGGGGGAGGGGGGGTTGGGAAGACAGCTCTCCCGAACTCTTGTTTATTTTTGTTGTTGTGTACGGTCGAATAAGATCTGACTGGTACAGGAGGCGATTGCTCCTCCTTCTCCCACAGAGCATCTGGGGGATTCCACCCTCTCTTTTGCCATTTTAGGTCTTGTTAAAATTTGCAAAAGATTTAAATCTGAAATTAGTTTAGAAAATGTCCTCACTGTTTCTCTCCCCCAGGGAGAAGGCTAGTATGGTGATCCCTGAAGAAAGAGAAGGCAGAGATGACTCCAACCTGGACTTAGCAAGAGGCAGCACCTCAGCCAGCACTCCCACGGACACTCGGAAAGCAGGTGAGCCCCGCCTGGCACCCCCGTCACCCACATGCGGTCCCAGAGCTCGTCTGCAGAAGCTTGACTTGGTGGTGTACTCTTGTGGTCAGGTGCCAGGCCTAGGGGAGGATGTGTGGTCTCCACCTGCATTTCCCAGCCGTGCGTCCACCCTGCATTTCCAGCTCCTCATCTTTACAATAAGGGGAGTTGCATCATAGGCACCATAGTTAAGAAATGGGTGATGATCTCAAGTCACCTTGACTTAGGGCAAGATTTAAAATGTACTTTTTCTGAAAAAAATGTGGTGAAAATAGACATAACAAAACATGGACCATCTTTTTTTTTTTTTAGTATTTTTTTTTATTTTATTTGTGTGCGTGTACCGTCAAATCAGATCTGACTGGTACACAGGAGGAGATTGCCCCTCCTTCCCTGGCACAGCATCTGGTGGATTCGAACCATGCACCTCTGGGATTGTAGTTGCAGCTTCTTGCCACTAGGCCACCAGAGCTCCCCAAAACATGGACCATCTTAACAGCTTCACTTTACTTGGTTGGATCACAGTCAACATTCGTAGATGAAGCAGTCAAGAAATCAAACAGTATATTCATTGCACTGGGCATATCTGTACTGCCAAGAACCAGGGTTACTTTAAAGATTGCGGTGCACCGGACCCAAGCCATGATTTTCCAGTTGCCTCTTAGACATACTGTTTTCAACTGTGGTAAAAATAGACATAGCAAAATATTAACTACTTCAGTGTATATACACACACACAGACATATATACCTATCAGTGACGTTGAAGTACATTGATCCTAGTGTACCATCCTTCCTATCTGTTTCCAAACTATCCCATTACCAGAAACTTATTGCTTCCCAGGAAATAACACCTCCTTAACCTCAGCAATTAATAAACTTTAGTCTCTGTATGTTTGTCTATTTCATGCAAGTGGGATCATGCAGTATTTACTCTATTTAGGACTGACTTCACTCAGCATAATGTTTTCAAGGTTCACCCATGTTGTATCCAGCATCAGGATTTTGTTTGTCTTTTTGGCTAAGCAATACGATTGTATGTATATACCACTTGTTTTCTTTCACCTTTGAACGATTATGAATAGTGCTGCAGTGAGCATTGTTATGTAAGTATCTCTTTGTGTCCCCACTTTCAGAGGTGTTGGTTTTGGGGTGTTGTTTTTTTTTTTTTAATCTATACATAGGATTGGAATTTGCTGGGTCTTATATTAATTCCCTGTTTAGAGTTTTGTGGAAATGCCAGACCGTTTGCCATGGGAGCTGTATCATTGCACAGTCCCATCAGCAGTGTATCAGAGGCCCCAGTTTCTCTACCAACTAACCTTGCCAACACATGTTATTTTCATGTCTTTTTTCTTGTTATTTTTCATCCTAGCAGTCTTAACAATTACAAAGTGATATCTTACTGTAGTTTTTATAGAGGGTCAGCAAAAAAAAGAATGCTGTCAGTCAACTCCTTAGCACCTGACAGCAATGACTGATGTCACTGAGCACTTTTCTATATGTTTCTCAGCCATTCATGTATCTGTTAGTTAAATGTTGCTTAAGTCCTTTGCCGGCTTTTCAGCTGGGCTGTTTCTCTCTTCTGTGGTTAAGGAAGCATCGATGTGAAACACCATTGTATTCTATTCTTTTTTTTAAATTTTATTATTTTTGTGTGTGTGTGTGTGTACCATCAAATCTGATCTGACTGGTACAAGACATTGCCTCTCCTTCTCCAGCAGAGCATCTGGTGGATTCTAACCTCCTGCCTCTGGGATTGCAGTGCAGCTTCTTGCCACTAGGCCAACAGAGCTCCCTGTATTCTATTCTTTTGAGAGTTCTTCCTCAGTGACGTTCCTGAAAATGCTGCTCTTCCCCATAGGTGGCCAGGAACAGCGCAAGACCCAGCAGAGTATCGTGGTGGATATGCGTGAATTCCGGAGCGAGCTGCCCTCTCTGATCCACCGCCGGGGCATTGACATTGAACCCGTGACGTTGGAGGTGGGAGATTACATTCTGACTCCAGAAATGTGTGTGGAGCGCAAGAGTATCAGTGACTTGATCGGCTCCTTAAACAACGGCCGCCTGTACAGCCAGTGCATCTCCATGGCCCGTTACTACAAGCGCCCGGTGCTCCTGATCGAGTTCGACCCCACTAAGTCTTTCTCGCTCATGTCCCGAGGGGCCTTGCACCAGGAGATCTCCAGCAACGACGTGAGCTCCAAGCTCACGCTGCTCACCCTGCACTTCCCCCGGCTCCGGCTCCTCTGGTGCCCCTCGCCTCACGCAACCGCCGAGCTGTTCGAGGAGCTAAAGCAGAACAAGCCGCAGCCTGATGCCGCCACCGCCATGGCCATCACAGCGGACTCCGAGACCCTCCCCGAGTCAGACAAGTACAACCCCGGCCCGCAGGACTTCTTGTTAAAAATGCCCGGAGTCAACGCCAAAAACTGCCGCGTGCTGATGAACCACGTGAAGAACTTGGCGGAGTTGGCCACCTTGTCCCAGGACAAGCTCGCAGGTATCCTGGGGAATGCGGCCAATGGCAAGCAGCTCTACGACTTCATCCACACCACGTACACAAACGTGGTGGCCAAAGGGAAGATGAGAAAATGAGAAGTAGGCTCTGATTTCAGAGCCCGTGACTGCTGTGCTTGTTTTGAGTGGCTCTTGGCCAGCCAGTGCAGATCATAATCAGTCATTATCTCTGGCTTTCACACCCTGCCAGTGCTTTTAGTGGTCGTGTGGTCTGTTTCCTGGGTCAGTGCAATAGAAGCCAAGAGCCTCCCTGAACTCTGGAGCCTTGTGACTCTCCTAGGTCTGCTGTCTTCCTTCTCCGCAGTGTGTATGCCTGGCTGTAAGCTCACTCTCTGTCATTACCATCAAGTCAGGACAGACTCGTAGCTGGCCCTCCAGCCCCTTTTCAAAGGCTCTAAAGCATGTACAAAGAGATTACCTGTCTTTCTCTAAAGAGCAGCTGGTGGATTCGAACCACCTATTTTTGAGTTGGCAGCACACCTTGCCCACAAAGCCACCAGGCCTCACTGGTTGTAGTGTAGTCAGCTTTAAAATGACATGTGTCAGCACTGTTCTCATTTCTGCAAGTATTTGTAGAGGGCCCTCTGGAAGCAAGCAGAAGTGTGTCTTTTTAAACCCACTGTTAACGCCTGCAGGCTTGTTCTTGTCTGCCCGCTGGGAGGCGGCAACAGAAGCATCTCTCAGTAGTTCTGGCACGTGCTTTGCCATGACTCCCATGTTTCCACCACCTATCTGCCTTTCAGAAAAGCTCCTGGGTACCCACCCCCTCCTGCTAATCAGACAGGGCCACCATGACAGCTGGCTCAGTGGGTTTCTAATCATTTGAATCTATTTAGCATACACTTTTTCAAAACTAGTATTTTTAAAACATAAAAGATATCACCTGTTTACAGAATCTGATAGTTTGTGAAAGAGCCCTTAGAAGTCTCACTTGTTGCAGGCAGCCAATCTCTAAAAATCTGATCACTCTTGGCCAAATGACGGATTCGGGCATCTCCTCACTTTGTTTTCACCCCCACCCTCAGTCCCCTGTCCCTTGGAGACAACAGCTCACTCTCCTTGTGATTTCTCCACACCTTATGTCCTGCTCTGCAGGAGGGCCGGGATGTGAGGGCCTCGGGGAGATGTGACGGTGTCTTTTAAACCTTCCTCAGATTGACTGAGTTTCACTTTTTACTGATGTGTATGTTCAGGTCATTCAGAGCATCTTGGAGAGTTTTTTTAACTTTCATATTTAAACCTTATTGATTTGAATGAGTTCACTTCTTTAATAATAAATATTAAATTTTCCTAACTCTGGAGCCTATAATAGCATCAGTTTTGTAACCATATCACACAGTTTAACTTTTCAGGAAACTCGGCTCTTTTTTTACCCACTTGGTGGCTTCAGATATATTGGGGACCATGTAGCTGACGCTTGTCTTTAACAAAAGGACTTTTAACTATTGTTTCAGAACTCTCTTAATTGTATCTTGGTTTATTTGTACTGAACAGAACATGGGTTTCTTAATCCTGTACAAAGATATTTACAGGAATTTATTTACAGGAATTAATACTGTCAGTTACCATTTGGTTAACATGGAATTCTTCAAGATAATTTGAAGGGTAGGCTTAGAGAGCAGAAGACAAAAATTAATGTAATAAAAGATGTGGAAACTTGATTTTATTATGAAATTTAAAACACTTCTAGAATAGAAAACATTAAGTGCAATATTAACATACATTCTGTTGATTAATTATTGAGAAGTTTAGTCATAAATGCATTAAAATAGTAAAGGTAGAATAGCTTCAAATGGAAATATGTCATAATTTTTTCACATTATTCTAGCACTTCTGCTTGTGGTACATAATTTCTTTTTTCTTAATTCAGAATTCCACTTGCCTTTTACTATTATGTTAATATATGACATAAAAGGTACAATCTTTAATGAGGTCATTCCAGTTATGTTTTCAGAAATAAATTCTTTTTAAAGAATTTTACATTTTAAACAATTCTAACTACTGTGGTGTTTAGCACCCAAGCCCCTTGGCCCTGGAGTTCTGCTTACCATAATGGCTAAGGGACACCTGAGAATCAGGTATATTTTATTAGGAAAGTGACTTTCATCCCTGCTTTTACCTCCAACTAAATACATATAAAGGACAGCGTTCAGATCTGTTATTGATAGAGTCACTATGAGTCATATTTGATTGAAATTACAACACCCATCAACAACAACTTACTTTCAGTTGTGGATAGCTTTTATCAAGTAATTACTTTTGTGAAATTTTATTCATTTAAAAGTAACAACATTACTTAAATTTTATTAAATTCATCCAGTATTTACTCTAATGAAATTTGGGGTTTTTTCCCAAGACTTTTCAAAGAACCTTTGGCAAAGGAATTAGAAATGCTGACAGTTCACCAAATTAATGTATTACCTTATTTCTAGTGCTGTTTTGTTAACTTTGTCTTTTTCTCTTAAAATAGCATCTAATCTACTTAAGAACTCCTTTTTCATTTTCTTAAAACCGTTTGAAAGCATTAAATCAACTCTGATTGTTACGTGCTGTGGAGTTGTAGCCAACTCATAGCTGACCCTCCAGTGAGTTTTCAGAGGCTGTAAATGGCACAGGAAGAAGTTCCCCTCGGAACGTTCTCCCTTGGAGCAGCAGGTGGATTCACACCATGTGCCTTTGGGTTGACAGCACAACTCCTAACCTCCAAGGCCATTAGAGCATCCTTTACTGTTCTGTTTTACAAGTCTTTTGCATAAAGGTTTTGAACATACGGTGGGAAATTGTTTTATTAAATCATGTTGTTTGTCTTAAAATTATACAAGAAAAATATCTTTTTTTTTTTTTAAATGTTGTGTTGTTACTGTGTACGGTTGATTTGGAACCGATTCCTAGCTGACCCTTCGGCAGGTTTTCAGAGGCACTTAATTGCAAAGGATGTGATTGCCCATCCTTCTCCCACGGAGCGACTAGTGACTTCAACCCACCTTTGGGATTGCAGCACAGCTTCTTTGCACTAGGCCACCAGTGTTATTTTGGCTCTTATTGTTTTGGGGTTTTTTAGTGTGATTTTTTTCCCCAGTCTGTAGCTTAGTGGACTTGGTGTCTCCTCCATCTGTTTGAATGCATTCAGTATGCGGTTCTCAGCTCATAAGGGACGAAAATTGTCCACATTCACCAGCCAGTTGGACCACAGAGGTTTAAGCCTCGACTTGGTCACGTTGAGATAACACAGCATAGAATGAATAAATGGCCTTCAGCATGGAAACCTGTACTAAAGCAAATTTGAAGAAAGGGTGGGAGAAAAGCAGTCATTGGTTTTGCTTTTGTTTATCAAACATAATTTGATTTTCCTTTGGCTCAGAAAACTTACGGAGGCAAATTCTCTTTTGTGTTCCGCTTAACCAAGAAAATCCAACATATTGGGGAAATTCTTAGGCTTGCATATATGAAAATTCATCCAGGAGTTAATGTGAATTGTCATTTTTTCTTTACGCTATGCCTTCTGTTTCAGGTTGTAGCTATTTCCTGTCTTGTCCTGAACTCTTACCTATTTATTACTTTACCAACTTATATTTTGGCGGCCTGGTACTATGACTTCTTAATTTAAGGGTATTTGTATAGGTCAAAACCTTAATGAGAGGGTGACATGACTGATTTCTGTCATTTGTAACAGTTGTGTGTATATGTGTATTTTTAAGAAAATGTATATTCAATATTTTCCCTAAGATTTTTGTAAGCAAAAAAGTAACAGTGCATAGTGAAAAGGTATATATTACCAGCAATGTGATAGTAAATCGAATTTGAAATTCAGAGAATATCTAATTTTTTTTCTTTCTTTATTATGCAAAATAAATTATTACTGTTGAGATGCTCCTTGGAACACTGCTTTTTTTTAAAAAAAAAATTTTATTTATTACTTTTTGTGTGTGTGCCGTCAAATCAGATCTGACTGGTACAGGAGGAGATTGCCCCCCCTTTCTCCAGGGGAGCATCTGGTGGATTCGAACCACATATCTCTGGGATTGCAGTGCAGCTTCTTGCCACTAGGCCACCAGAGCTCCCTGGAACACTGCTTTTGATGTTTCCCTTGCTTGGTAACACGTTTCCTGAGTTTTCAGGATTTGGTTGCTTAGGGTTTATTTTCTTTTTCAGTGGGTTTTAGAGGGTTGTTTATTTCCTTTTCCCTTACTGCTTTTCATTTTGTAGCATTATCTCCTTTTGGCGGAAAAAAAGAGTTCCTCTAAAATTACTCATTTGTTGGTGTGTAATGAGTATGGTGAGGTACAGTGCCCCAGACAGCTCAACACAGGTTGTTTTCCCACCACCTCTGCCTCATCCATTTTTGTTTCCTTAACGTCAGAGGTAGAAAGAGTAAGTTCTTCTTCTGACATGTCACTAATTCTAATCATATTTTATTACACATTTAATCATTACCTTGCTAATTGGCTTATTTCAGTGATTTTTTTTGTTGTTGTTTGTTATTCCTGCTTTAACGTGTAGAATTGTCTCCCATAACACATTGTAAAGTTATATTCCTCATAATGATTTAATGTCTTAAAAACTCCAATAGAATAAGGAATGGTTTCTTAGTAGTTGTTAAGTGCCATCAAGTCATAGACAACTCATAGCGGCCCTGTGAACAAAAGACCTGAACACTTGTATAACTTTCATCGTTACTCTAAGTCATAGAGTTTCTGGAGGCAAGCTATTCCGGAAGTGAATGCCATTCCTGCTTCCGAGCTTGTTTTAATCTGGGAGCTTCACTAAACACTGTCTACCATGGGTGACCATTAAGTGCTTTAAGTCCTCTAAACTTTGAGCAAGCTGTGATAGTGTACTGTATAAAGTGCCAAGCTACCAACTCAAAAGGTTAGAAGTTCAAACTCAGAAGGCAAGCATGGGAGAGAGATGGAAATCTATGGTCAGTACAGAGTATGGAAATATGTGAGTAGGGAGAATCTACTAGAGTAACACCTAACTTTTAAAAATTATTATTTAAAATTTTTGTTTTATACTCGTTTACTAACAGAGTTCATATGCGTTGTTTTTTACACTGGGTCTTTACTATTGCCTTTACC